TTTGCATTTTATGACTATTATAATTTATTGATTTTTAATATATTATTTTTAGATCAAGAAGAAACAATCGCGTTGGTGTTCTTACGTTAATGTCAACGTTTTTGTTGATATAACAAAGCTACTTGAAAAAATTGGCAGTGTTCATTTGTTTAAAGAGTCTCCTTTTGGTTATCTATTAGGCTTGTCCCAATTGAAAGTCCAACTTCAGATTATTAGAAGTCTTGTTCATCATTTATCTAACAATCAGGATGACATGTTTGTGTTTGACATAAATGGTAAAGAAATGCATTTTGGGCTTAGAGAATTTTTGGTAATTACTGGTTTTAAGTGTGGTGGGTGTATGGTTTTTGATCATGATCAAAATAGTACATCAAAGTTACTTTCTCGTTACTTTCCAAATGCTATTGATAAGGTTTTGAAAGCTGATTTCATAAGAGCGTTTAAAGAAGATGGGTTGATTCAGGAAGAAGACTTTTTTAATATGTCTATGATTTATTTCATTAGTACATTCATATTGTCATCTCCACCACAATTGTCACATATTCCAAAAGATCACTTCTTATGTGTTGAGTCGGGACAGTACATTACGTACCCCTGGGGCAATCTCTTCTTTTTTAATCTTCGTCATTCTATATCGAGTCAAATGGCAAAAGATCCAGATTATGTGAAGTTTGAAGGGTTTCCGCTCGCGTTGCAAATTTGGTTTTATGAATGTTGTAACAAAGTTGATGGTTCAATTGCAATTCGTAAATCCAATCGAACGCCTAGAATATTCAATTGGGATATATCCAAAAACAAGATATATTTTGACCATCTCCAGAAAGGAATGTTCAGAAAATACGGCAATCAGGTAATAGAAGTTCTTTTGTCATTATTAATTAATTTTCTATTTTATGAGTAGTGTATATTCACAATTTATTATTATTGTGTTAGTATACATTTGAAGATCTTGTGTTCATAGATGAGGAGCTTGATATCATTGAGGCGGAAAATCTAACTGTTTTGACTGATATTCCATTCAATAAGAAGAGTAAACGTGATAGATCTGTAAGGCAAAATGAGAATTTACAGACTCATTCTGTCGTTCGACAGAATGTCAAAGATTTGCCTCATAATTCTGCACAAAAAGTTGAAAGTGATCCGAGTTTGTCATTTAATAAGGATTTGCAGAAAATTGCCCAAGAAGTTGTGAAGGTATGATTATAAATTTTATTTACTCACTGTGAGAATTTTGGTTGAAGAAACATTAATGTTATTTTAATTTTTGTTAGGTTCGTAATGAGTTGGAAAAGTTTGAAAAAAATGTAGATGCTAAGTTTGTTGAAATGAAGGCTTTTATGGATTCGTCATTCAAACATATCATTCAAGAGTTGAAATCTCTTCAAAATGATGTTTCAACCAACAAAGATTTAGGTGGTGAACGGGTTAGTCTACTTATTAATATATGGACTTATTATTTACTTATAAACTAATTTTTAGATCAAGATTATTATAAATGTTAATGTGTATACTTTGTGTTGATTTTAAATATTATTAATCTTCTTGTTGATTACATATCCGTAATTAGCTATATTGTTGTCTTATTGTAATAGTTGAATGACTCAAAATTTTATTTTTATTGAGAACATTAAGGTTGTTGTTGAGGATCAAAGAAAAGGAAATGTTGATGTCCAAAATGAACATTTGCAAGATTGTGGAGATAAAGATGGTGTCCAGACACCATCTTCGTTTCGTAATCATGTTTTTGATAACAATTGTAAGTTCTTTTTTGTTAGCTTAAATCTATTTTTTATAACTATTTTTAGTTCATTTCTGATTTGTGTTTAAAATATCATAAAATATAGATACATAAATGATGTTTGTATATCTTAATAGGTGGTGTATCTATTGATTTTGAAATAAATAGAAAAACTCCTACATTGGATGACTTTGTTATGCCCAATATGCGTGAATTACAGTTGGTTGCTCTTGAAACTGGACAAACATACGTGTCATCATTGGTAGAAGTTGAATCTGAAAATATTTGTGTCACACCTTTGAAAGTTGCTAAAGCTGGAAAAACAAAGTTCAATCAGTTTGGTGTTATTGAGGGTGAAAACACATTTATCTCACCAGTTCAACATGTTCGTACGAAGATTCCAGGAAAGTATTCCCAATCACCATACACAAACTTAAGTGAATCAAGTGGCATATCGGCGAACACAGTGAAGTACTGTTTATGGAGGCATCCTTTGGTAAATTACAAGGGGTTTGATATGTACAGTGAAGTTATCTTTCATTTTAAGAAATGGGTTGATAGCAAATTATCCAAGAAACGTGGAAAGTATGTATTGTTGTGTAATTGTATTTTACCATTTGTTCATTCAACTACTCATTTTGTTTTATAGGAAAACCAGTTTCTTCACTGCTGCTTCAAATCCAATCAATCCTCCTTTTGAGTTTGGTGTTGGTAGGGTGGATTTGATGGATTGGTTTCACCCTTTGGCTTATCCAGGACAGCCTTGGAGAGATTTGGTAATTTCTTACGGTGTAACTCTATATTAAAGTAAGATTTGGTATTTGTTTTTTATTGTGATTTTTAGTGATTGGTACGTAAAATTGGCTTCATTGTAGTCACTAAAATTTGTGATTTAGTTCTATGGGGACAGTTGTTTTTGGTATGTATGTTAGGAAAATAAACTACTGACACAAACATAGACTCCTAATTATAGTTTAATTGTTACAATGACACAAATATATAATTTTAAATCTAGTCTAATAGGTAATAATCAGATAATGATGATTCTTTCAATCAAGTTATGATATTATTTTATTGTTTGGTGCTAACTAATAAAACTTGATATGCAACATGTTGATGTGATAATGTATTATCTTCGCAAGTTTTGCAAGTATGGTCTTGATAATAGTGCAAGAGTTACTACTACTGACCCTTTTTTCATCAGTTGGGTCGTTCAAATTCATGATGCGTGGGAGGCCAATGGCAAAGATGAAAGTCTAATTAGTATACATCATGAGGTTGCACAATATATAAGAGGTGATAAGATTCTTGCTAATACTCCATGGGTGGATGTTGATCATGTATGCATTCTAGTCAATAGTAGTGCTGCATTCCACTGGTTTCTGGTTGTTTTTTCCATAAGAAAAAGGTGTTTATATATTTATGATTCTTTAAATGGTTATGGGGTTAAACATACCAATGCAGTAACAAGTTTGGTTCAAAAAATATGTAGAATGATACCTTTGTTCCTAGTTGCTACTGATTATTATGCTTTAAGGAAAGACATTGACTGGAATACAGATGTGCATTATGCTGGAAGGCCAATTGGTGATCCGTTGGTATATGGTAATCGTGAAAACATCCCACAACAATGCGAAAATTCAACGTAAGTATAATGTGTTTTTTGTGGTTGATTATACTATGTATTGTACTAATTATGCTGATTGGGTAATATTTATAGGGATTGTGGTCTGTATACCTGTGCTTTTGCTGAATATGTGTGTCGTGGAGATAGGAACGTATCTATGTCGGGTTTAAATGCTGAAAATCTTCGGTTGAGATTTGGAGCATTACTGTGGGAATATGGAAAGATGAAAATTGATATTGAATCTGTTAGTGAAGATGAAGCTTCTAACCAAGGTGGTCGGTCAAATCGAAGGGTCAAGGAGTAAAAAGTGTCATTTCTTAAGACAGAATTTCATGAATGTTTTATGGTTTTGAATCTCTTCTGTAATTTTGGATAGTACTTTAGTTGCGTTTATGGTCTTGAGTTCGTTGGATATTGTCATTATTCTGTGATTATGCATTTATTTGGTTGTTTTTTTGCTTAAATTTTGTGATAAATTTATAGTGTGAGTTTGGTTTGTACATGTATGAGTTTGGAATAAATTTAGGTATAAATTGGGTTTTATCATTATTGAAAAATTATACTAAATGCTTGTAAATGATCGATTGGATTTCTTTCAAAGTTGCAGGTTGGTATACATACCAATGTGTTTACCCAGTTTTGTACTTTTTTTCTTTCATATGTAAACCAATTTTTTTCTTTAACATAGTTTTTTTTTTTTTTGGTTTCAGTGTTCACCAAGATTGTAGTCATAAGACATTTATTGAAATATCAAAGTATTTTACCAAAAATTTAACCATTTAATGATCTTAAAAAAAATAGTCAAAGAAATACCAAAGTATTTTATCAATATTTTAACCATTTAATAAACTTAAAAAAAAAACAGTCAAAGATTACATACCCTTAAACCAATTTTTAAAATTTATGATTTTATCAGGTTATCATCAATAAATGTAGGAAATATTTTTCATATTATTATTTACACCAATTCACATACTTAAAATACACTAAAATATGTACCATATTTTTATTTACGAGGTTCGAATTATATACCATAGATCGTCAAACTTGTAATTTTTTACACCACCAATTACACCAAATAATTTATTAATGCACTCATTTTAATTTACGTATGTTCATATGCAAGATAATATACCATCATCATTATGACATTTGGTTTTTATATATACTATTATTTATACCAAGCTATGTACCAGTTGTAACAAGAGTAAACCAATTTTACAGTAATTGAGTGTTAATTATTGTAGCGTCCAAACTAATATACTAACATTTAATACTTTTCAATTTATTGTATTAGGTTGGTGTAAACTGCAAACATTTGTTTTACTATATACACAATTATTATGATCCTTTATTTTTACCATAAATTTGTTCTTATTTACCATAATTTTACCAAGAATTTGGCTTATTTACCATATCAAATCAACAACAGAATATCATCCAATAAGTTCATTTTTTATCAATATTTCTGGATATGTGACAACACGTAATCCAAAAGAGTTCATGATATCTACTATATACAACCATTTATAACAACTATGTATTCAAAAATATGAATAAGATAACAAAAAGTAATCAACTTTGAAATAAGGTAATGAAATTAAAAAATAGTACATCTAATAAAAGTAATATAGTTCAACTGTATAACTGCAAAGTAAAAATAACAACAAAAATATCACAAAGCTAATTATCATGAGTTTTTTTTTGGGCAAGTCTTCTTGTTATGCCCAACTATACCACATTCACTACAGGTTACTTTCCTCTTCTTCCCCTCTCCTTTGGTGAATCCCTTTTTGCGATCATTTTTTGGAGGTCTGCCTGGTTTCTTTCTTGTAAATGGTGGTAATACTACCTCTTCCAAGACATGTGATGGAACATCCCAAGTGCTTTCGCAAGGCAATGGTTCATTGGTATTGCATATGTATCTTGATAATTCTTATTACTATAATAAGCTGAACAATAATCATCGCGATGTTTATTCCTATGCCTGATTGCTGCAAGTGCATGACTACAAGGGATCTCATCATGTTGAAATCTGCCACAACTACACATTCGTGTATTCAGACATACTGTAAACCTCTTTGCACCATCTATAATGGTATGAAGGTGTATTATTGATGCGCGTACCTTCATTTAAGAGCATGTATTATCAATAATAAATCCAAAACATACTATGCATAGTAGAGAATTGTTAATACTTACAAGCATAAGATGAAACACATTTCTATTGTTCTCCAACATTTCATTGTATTTACTTGTCAAGGTTATTGTAGTATTTCTACCTTCTTCGTTGTGTTTCTCATTCCAAGCTTCAATTGTTTTTCTAACAAATTCCAACAATGGTACCACTGGTAACTTTCTTCCAACAAGAATAGCGTTATTTAGTGACTCTGCAATGTTACTTGTTAGTGTCCAAGTCCTTTTTACTGGTGAATGTGCGCGTGACCATTTCTCATAATTTGCTTTTTGTAGATAAGCACGGTATTTTGGATTAATTTGATCCATCCTTTTCATCAATTCATCAAACTCTTGAACAATGTAAGCTTTTGCTAAACTGAAGAATAATGTTCTAACCTCTTTTGTATCTCTATATGTTTTCTTTAGTAAATTGGTCCATAGATGGTATATGCATGCGTAATGTCTGAATTCGGGATAAACAACTGCAGTAGCATTCCAAATGCTCTTATTTCTATTAGAAACAAAGCACATATCTTCTCTTTCACCGAATGCATTTTTAAAATTCTCAAAGAACCATAACCATGAATCATCATTTTCTGAATCAACTATTTCGTATGCAAGCGACAAGGTGTGACCTATACAACAAATATCTTCAAAATAAATACAACATATATTGATTATATATAAAAACAAATCAATCTAGTTGCGGTAATGGTATAAACAGTACCTCCTGGATCTAATGTGCTAGCTATCAACATTGTGCCTTCGTATGTTGATTTTAAATGTGTACCATCCACGACTACTATTGGTCGACAATACTCCCAGCCTCTTATATTTGCATCAAGTGCTGTAAATGAATATTAAAAATGATTTTCATCTGTTTTTTTTTATAATTCACAATTGTCCCTGGATATGTCTTCTCCAATATATATAGATATGTTGGAATTTTTCCATATGATTCGGCAGGGTCACCTCTTAATGTCTCGAAAGCTTTTTTTTACCTCTCCATTCTTGCATGTATGTCAATGAAATACCATGTATCCTTAGCATGTATGCTTGTATGTCTGTTGGTGTGTAAATGGTCTTCAGATCAACATAATTTTCAACCAGCATTGCCCCAAGCACACCACTTGTTGATTGTCGCTTTGATTGAATCTGGTCCTTCAATGGACAAGAATGTGTATCATAGAATTTCCTCACTTCGAATAACTTTGAATTATTCAAACATGAGAATTTAAAAACCCATGAACAGTTTTCTATAGCACACTTTAGATAGTAAATGCAAAAGCTCATGCATATTAATACATGGTAAGTTGTTAAAATATATTGATAATTTTTAAAATCAACATATATAATAACTCACCAGGTAGGACTTGATCTTTTTGCAACGAAACAAAACTCTCTTAGAAATGCATATCGCTTCATAACTTCCGATATAGTTTGCTTGTTTATATAAACTTGATCCTCAGCCACCAAATAGTGTTGAGGATTTGAAATTATTTCAGTTCCTTCAGATTCTTCAATATAACCTTCCAAAATTGGATTCATGTTAGTCAAACATAGTGTGTTGGATCCCAAAATATGTTGACGTGTTGTTTGGACATTTGTTTGGTACTCAATGGATTCCATAGCTTTGTCCACACATGTCACACATAAAGGATATTTTGAAAAGAAATCTGAATTGCATCTCTTTTGATCTAAATAAACTTACACTCCCGTATCGTTATATATCTTCATTGGTGGAGATGGACCACTCACGAAATACCTCAGTTCCAAATGATAAATTGTTGTGTCCACTCCCAATTGTGAAGATATAGCTGTAATCAAGCCTTCGTATTTGGTGGTTGGATCATACATAACTCCTTCAATATTGTAATCCACGTAATTGCCTGTTTAAAATAACAAATTCTTTGTTAATATTAAAAGGAACTTTCAGAATTACTTACTACAGTCATCAACTTATTTAACTTTGTTTTTACATTGATTTTCGTTGGTATATAAGCCATTTATTGAAATACCAAAGTATTTTACCAAAATTTTAACCATTTAATGATCTTAAAAAAACAGTCAAAGAAATACCAAAGTATTTTACCAATATTTTAACCATGTAATAAACGTAAAAAAAACAGTCAAAGATTACATACCCTTAAACCAATTTTTAAAATTTATGATTTTATCAGGTTACCATCAATAAATGTATGAACTATTTTTCACATTATTATTTACACCAATTCACATACTTAAAATACACTAAAATATGTACCATAAGGTTATTTATGAGGTTCTAATTATATACCATAGATCGTCAAACTTGTAGTTTTTGACACCACCAATTACACCAAATTATTTATTACTACACTCATTTTAATATACGTATGTTCATATGTAAGATAATATAAATTTGACCAAACAATACACCAAATCATGCATCAGGCTATTTGTTTAGTGTCAGCTATTAGTGACAATTATACCAGATCACATACCTAAACAAATATAGAAATACATATCGCAAACTTATTGATATAAAATATTTGCTACCATACGGCACATATCATACCAATTAAACCTAAACTTTAACAAAAAACAAGTTTGACACATCAGTGTACAACAAAATCATATGAAATTGTTGAAATTACACCAAAATTTTGACGATCCCGAACATTAACCAAATTGTATGAATTAATTTACACCAAAAATGACAAAATAAACATAATGAATAGCTACCAAAAAGTACAAAATAGATATTTGTGAAAAATCAAATTCAACCACGTAATAAAAAATCATGAGAATTATTTTTATATAATTACCTAATGAGTCCCATCGCCCGTTGTGTTGAATTAGAATTGAGAAATTATTGGTATGCGTTTTTTTCAATAATCGTTCTTTGGCCGATTTTTTAAGTCAGAGAAAGGAGTTATGTTTTGGTAGGAAACCTCTATTTATGGGAGATAATATATAGCATATTTGAATAAATTAGGGAAGGTAAAATTATTGGAGAAATTTATGGGAATTGGGATAAGCATGGCTGATTTGGAAAATCTTTTTAAAAAAAATTTAAATTCTACTTTTGAAAAAAAAAGTATTGCTATATAATTGAAAAAAAGAGTATTGCTATGTTGGTGTAAATACAGTTGTTAATTTGTATATTTAAAAAATCCGCCCTTAAAAATATGGGTAATATAGGACCTAAAGGTAGATGTTAGGGATATTTGAGAGCTAGTAGCTGGATGGAAGATAGTAATGTACCATTTCCAATAGTTCAAGGGTATTTTAGGTCATTTTCCATTATTTTTTTATAATCATTCATGCAAGCTTTTTTGGGTAAATCTTGCTTAAAATAAAATAAGTTCTTAATATTAAATATTGTTATATATGTATAATAGTCGATCGTTATGACATGCAAAAGAAGTATACAAATGAGATTGGTATATAAATGTAACTTTTAAGTACTAGTTATTCCTAGGTGTGGCACAATGGATAATTTATATGTATACTTATTCAAATTACTCATGTTAAATAGGTTGGGTATCCAACTCATTTAAAATGAATATAAAATGAATCAAACTCATATTACCCATTTAAAAGTGGAGTTGTCACGATTCAAAAATGGACGTGATGGCTCTTGTCTATTCCAACCAAGAGAAGTCAGTCTCAACCCAATAAAATGAAAGAAATGCAGCAAGTAAAACAATGAACAAGATAAAAGCGAAAAACTTATTCATTCTATAATCACCTCAAAACCTGGTTGTCACGTGTACAAGCCACTAATGCATAAAGTACGGAAAGGAAAGATAATTACAAGTCTAAATGTTTTTGTTTCTAAAAAATAAAGGGAAAATGCATAAGTACACCCCCAGCTTATGCCCAAAATCCCTGAGACACACCTAACCTTTACTAAGGTCCTATTACCCCCCCCTCCCCGAGCTTATCTTTTAATTAATTTTCTACCCCTTTTTGGCCTACGTGGCTGAGTTCGTGACTTCACTTATGTTAGGCGCGTGGGTGTAGTTTTTAGACAACACTGACCAATAAAAATTGGCCACGTGTTAAAATAAACTTGAAAAAAATAAACATTAACTCAGTTGTCTTCTTCTTTATCAGTGTTCTTCATCTTTGAAAAAAAACCCTCCATTATCATTCAAGTTAAATTGCTCCTTGCTTCGAAAAGGTAAAGTAAATTTTTAATAGATTCTTTATATTTACACCTTTTTATGTTGATAATTAGTTCTGATTTTAAATTTTTTTCGATGAAGGTGAAAGTCTTCAAAATCGTTATGAAAATGTGAACATCAATTCAAAGGAGAAGGGTAGCGATGTAAAATAAATGGGTGATTTGAAAGAGAAGAGGATGAAAGGGATGAAGATGAAGAAAAAGGATGAAGGTTGTCGTTGTTTTGGGAAATTCCTTTGTGAAGATGAAAGGGGTGGAAAATGAAGAAAAAGGATGAAGGCTGCATTACTAATCCATGTGTTAGTAATCCCTGCGTTATACATCTTTGTAAGTCTAATAAGGGTTCCCCACTTTTCCCATGGTAGTGGTAACGTTCAAAACGTTTCTCCAATAAAGGAGGTGGCTATGGTCGTTTGTAAAACAATTATCCAACTATGAGTTAGATTTAAATTCCATGTGCACGGGAGGTAGGATTTATCAAAAAAAAATTCTCAAATCACAAGATCATTCATATTGTATCAACAATAAATAGAAACATGGGGTTTGTTATCGATTTCAAATTTCAAGAGCAAAACGTAACACAAATGTTATTTTCACAAGATTGGAGAAACTAGGGGTGTACATTTGATAGGGTGTTGATTTGATAAGTATTGACTAGGGGTGTGAATGTGAAATGGTGATTCGCCGAGATGGAAGGGCGAACAAGTAGACCATCACTGAAGGTGACAGGACATGGATGAAAAATGAAGGTTGGAAAGGCGAATTAAGGTGGTAATCGGTGATCCGCCGAATATGAAAGGCAGACTCGAACGAGTTCACCAATTGAGCTTCAAACACCATAAGTAAATGAAAGGTGAGCAGAGTAACACACGCGATCCAGTGATCGTGCTTGATGAGCCTGACTAATATCTCATAAATTTACTATAAAATTTAAAAAAATTCATACTTCATCTCTCCCCTCCCCCCCCCCCCCCGCTCCCCCCAAACCACCTACCCATTTCCAAAAAAAAAATGATATTATTTTATTTAAAATAAAATAAAATTCACCCCACCTATTTAACCCTCTGCTTTCTATTTATTTTTATTTTTTTACATTTTTCTCGTTTTCTATTAGATATGTACATATATTTTTTGGAATTTTTTTTACTAGTGTACCGAAGATAACATAAATAAAAATTTATTTTTAAAAAAGTCTTGCGGCGGCAAGTAAGACATATATTCCTAAAAATATATGTATATATCTAACACAAAACGAGAAATTTTTTTTGGAAGTGGAGGATTAGGTGGAATGGGATATAATTATTTTTTTAAAAATATTATTTGAAGGAGGGAGGGGGGGGGGGGGTTGAGAAAGGGAGAGATGAAGTAAAAACAATTAAATACTTCTATAAAGGAAATTTAAACAAAAAAAAAACAAAAAAATTGGGGTGGGGGGGGGGTATGGTGAGAGGAAGTGGTGATGCAATTGGATAAGAAAAATATTTTACATTTTATGAGATAATAATTCTTTAATCTTTAATTTTAACTAATACAAATAATTTATTTAATTTTAGTTAATGTGGAATGTGTTGTTCATGTGGAGTATGAAGTGACATTTTTAAAAAAAATAAAAGAGAGAATGTAGTACACACACCATGAAGACAACGTAATAAAAGAGAGTGGTGCGTTTCTCAAACTAATAAGTGATAGTTTAACTATGAAATTCACACTCTCAATAGTTTATGTATGAAACTAAAAAAAGGGGGATAGTTTAGATGTGTTTTTGACACTTATCTCTTATAAAAAGTTTCCCACTGACTTAAAGTCACTTAAGTTTATTTTGTATCAAAAATATTACTTAAGTTAAACTAATTTAGGTAGAAAGTTTGTTTTTTGTGGAATAGGGCTATATAATTACAAGCCAGGAAATTGAACCCTCACCAATAATGTGAAATTTCAGGTATGCAACCAGAATCATCTAGTTGAAAGAAATGATAGTTTTCATAAGAACATAAAGAACAAAATCTCCATCACACCCATTGCAGGATACAAATTTAACTCTAATGCTTCAGCAATAAGGGCTACTGCATTGAACAACACTATTAAATCTTAATTATTGAAATAAATGATGAATATAGAGAGATAATAAATTATATTGAGCAAGATTATATTACCAGCTTACACAAACAATTTATCTTATTGTAGTGGTTCCTCCTTTTAATTAGGTTGTAACTTTGATTTAATTGTCTCTATGGAAATCTAGTTAAGTAGTCTTAAGTGTAAAATTGAGGAATTTTAATATACCTCTAAAGTCCTAACAATCAATCAAAAGGATGTCAGCTACTCCTAAAAAACTATCAAAAAGCGACGGAAAAAGGCTATGGACTGCATCACTTTTTTTGTCAAAAGCAACGGAAAAGCGACGACTGCGTCGCCAAAAAACGACAGACTGCGTCGCATATTATTTTTGGAAAAAAATTATTTTTTTTGAATAATGCGATGCCGTCCGACCATTTTTTAATTTTATTTTTTAAAAAATTTACAAAAAGAGACGAAGTCCGTCGCTTTTCTTAATTTTTAATTTTCTTAGAATCTTGAAAAGCGACGGACAATGAGACGCCGTCCATTGCTTTTCTGGAAATGAAATATTGAAAAATATAGAAAAGCGACGGACTAAATGACCATGTCCGTCGCTTTTCTGGATTTTTCAAAAAATAAAACCCAGGAAAGCGACGAACAAGAGGACCCTGTCCGTCGCTTTTTCTGCACCATTTTTTACAGCAAGAACTACAGTTTCTGCTAGCCAGCTGAAAATTAAATTAAATACAATATCAAATCAATTAAGCTCATTCAAGCAAAAACACATAATTAACATGTTACACAAAATATAAACTAACAAGCTTAATTAAACCTTCAAAAATACATAAATCTCAATTTTAAGATTTATAAAGTCTTTCAAAATTCAAAAAAGAGTTCATAAATTGTAACACCCCAAATTCGTGAAGGAAAAATTTGCAGAATTTTCCGATTTGGCAGGTGCCCAATCCGCATCAGGATTTGGAAAGCTTTTAAGTCAAGGGTGTTTTTGTCTTTTCCCACTCTTCTTTTAATTCCTAAATTAAAAGGGTTTTAGTTAGTCATTTAAAATCCTAGAAACCTAACTAGAACTTACCTAAGTCATTTAATTAACTAAAACAAAAGAAAAGAAGAGAGTAGAGAGAGGGGCGGCCGAAACCCTAGCCGCCGCTGGAACACGCTAGAAAGTCGCCGGAAAAGTCAAGTCCAGCCCTAGTTGATAGTTTTTCGTGGAGATTTCGTCACCAGGTATGTTGGATTTCATTAATGGGTCCTTTTCGCCAGTTAGATCCCTAGAATTCAGACAATTCTTGATTCCATGCTATGAACGAAATTAGGGTTCCTGAACGTTTCTTGATTTTGGGTTTTAAATGTTAGAATGATCCAAATATTGATCGTTTTTCAATGATTATGAATGAACCCTGGTAGTTTCTAAAGTTACAAACGATTTTCATGAAGAGACTGTTTTAAAAATGTTCCGATTTAGAAATCACATTTTTAACTATATGTTCTAACGTCCAAACAGTATGTCACGTTTTAGCTATGTTTTAATGTTCCAAATCAGCATGTCCCGTCTTCTTCAGATTATCGTATGAATGTCAAAACCCTAGCTATGTATTTTTAGTTCTTGAATTACATGTGTTAGGTCAGACTTTATCAGAAATCAGTTATACATGCCTCGGTATTATGCATCAATGTCAGTTTAAATTGTTGCATTCAGTTTGCATGTCTAGTTTTGAGCTATCCAGAACAATTACAGAAAATCAGTCATAATCAGTTTACTACTAAATTCATTGGGACTAGCATAATACCGAGTTGGATTGGGTTTAGTGTACCCAAATATTCCGAGAACTACTAGCCAAGTAGGTTGTAAGTCCCTTCCATGGGCAATAAATTAGTAATCACACCAGCATGCCTTTATACCTTTGGCAGGGTATATTGGGTCCTCTCGATGAGGCGTATACATCGGACTCCACATTCAGGTCGTGTGGTTTTATTATCGGTGATTAGAAGCTCCCACAAATCAGTCAGACTCCATTTGCATTGACCATGTTTAGTATTCAGTTTCAGCATGTCATAGTTAGTCATTGCATAAAGATCAGTCATGTTTAGTATTTTTTGGCATTCTATCATATCCATATATATGTCATTGCTTTTTTCTTGGTCAGTTATATATGTATTTCAGCGATACTCCATCCTCATGCTCGGTACTTTTCAGTACTGACGCATATTTTGCACTATATATTTTTGTGATATAGGTTCAGACTCTCAGCATCCAGATTGCAGTTAAATCATTTTCCAATTTTCAGCTCAGCAGATTAGTAGTGGTGAGTCCTCATCCTCCGAGGACCAGAGACATGATATCCTTACTGCTTTCAGTTTTTAATTTCAGTTTTGCTAGATCTAGTTGGGGCATGTCCCAACATTTCTAGTCAGTTTAGAGGCTTACTTTCAGACATAGTTAGTTTCAGCCTAGTATGAGTTAATATCTTTTGTATTAACTCTCTCAATTATAGTATATGGGTATTCCTTATATTTTCTTTATTTATGATTTTAGCTTCCGCATCAGTTATTTTTATTCATGTTAATTATAGTATGCTCAGATTATGCCAGCAGGGTTAGCTTGGGATCATTTGTGGTCCTAGGTCCCGTGTCCGCATCTCGGGGATAGCTCGGGGCGTGACAAACTTGGTATCAGAGCATTAGGTTTAAAAGTCCTAGGATGTCTGAAAAGCCGCACTAAGTAGAGTCTTTTTAATAGGTGTGAAGTGCACCACATCTAATGAGCAGGAGGCTACAAAGTGTTTTAGGAAAATCTTCACTTTCTTGTTACTCTTATCGTGGGTAATGTATGATCTAATTCCATTCTAACTCGATGTTCTACGTTTCAGTGATCATGCCTCCTCGTAGTGTTAACGCTAGGAGAGCTAATGCAAGGAACGCGAACGCAGCTCCTCCAGTCCCAGATCTGGAAATTTCAAATGCAGAGTTCAAGAATGTCATTCAGATGTTGGCTCAGAGCATGGCCAATCAGAACAACAGCGGGTTCAAGGTCCCGTGAATGCTAATGTTTGGTCAGCCACAGCTAGGGTGAGAGACTTTGTTAGAATGAACCCTCCAGAATTCTTAGGGTCGCAAGTTGGAGAAGATCCCCAAAACTTCATTGACTAGGTCAAGAAGATATTTGAAGTGATGCAGGTAACTGGGAATGATCGGGTTGAGCTAGCTTCTTACCAACTTAAGGATGTGGCTCGTATCTGGTATACTTAGTGGAAGGATAGTAGGGGTACGAATGCAGCTCCTATTACTTGGGATTGCTTTAGTGAGACTTTTCTGGACAGGTTCTTCCCTATTGAGTTGAGAGAGGCAAGGGCCCAAGAGTTTATGAATTTGAGGCAGGGTAACATGACTGTTCAGGAGTATGGGCTCAAGTTCAACCAACTCTCTAGGTATGCTCCTCACATGGTTGCTGATTCTAGGGCACAGATGAACAAATTCTTATATGGAGTGTCAGACTTGGTTAAGACAAGAGTATAGAAATGCTATGTTGTTGGGAGATATGAACATCTCTAGGCTCATGACTCATGCTCAGCAGGTTGAGGGTGATAAGCTTAGGGAACGGGCCAAGGAGAACAAGAAGGCTAGAACAGAAAACTATGACTACTCTCAACAGAAATCGGGTGGTGGTAATCGCTCGCAGCAGAAATTTTCAGCGCCTTCATCAGCTAGTGTTCCATCTCCCAGGTTCCATAATGATCAGAAGGGTAGGGCGTCAGGGTCTAAGTCTCAGGATGGTGTTTCAGGTACCAAATCATACCTTACTTGCCCTAAGTGTGGTAAGAACCATCCGGGCGAGTGTCTTGCTGGGAAAGAAGGACGCTTTGGGTGTGGTCAGTCGGGTCACAGGTTGAAGGATTATCCTTCTAGACAGGGTCAGAGAGGAAATGGTAGAGCTCAGTCTACTACTACAGCAACACCAGCAGGTCACCCGACTAAGCAGGGTAACTCTTCTGGTATAGGTGGCGGACATCGCCAAAATAGGCTCTATGCTCTTCAGGCTTGACATGATCAGAAAGGTTCTCCTGATGTGGTCACTCGTACGTTACGAGTCTTTGATCTTGATGTTTATGCATTGTTAGATCCAGGGGCTACTTTGTCTTTTGTAACTCCTTTCATAGCAGTCCAGTTCAGTGTTAGTCCAGAAACTCTCTCAGAACCTTTCTCAGTCTCTACTCCAGTTGGTGAACCAGTTATAGCTAGACGGGTATACAAAAATTGCACTGTCACAGTCTCTCAGAAAATCACCTCAGCAGATCTTGTAGAGTTAGAAATGGTAGACTTCGATGTCATTCTAGGCATGGATTGGTTACATTCCTGTTATGCCTCAGTCGACTGTAGAACTAGGATTGTTCGCTTTCAGTTTCCAGACAAACCAATCCTAAAATGGAAGGGCAGTAGCTTAGCGCCTAGGGGTGGATTCATTTCTTACCTTAAGGCCAGAAAAATGATCTCTAAGGGTTATCTCTATTATCTGGTTCGGGTGAAGGACTCTAGTTCTGAAACCCCAGCTCTTGAGTCAGTTCCAGTGGTTAATGAGTTTCCAGAAGTGTTTCCAGAAGATCTTCCCGGAGTTCCTCCCGATAGGGAAATCGACTTTAGAATTGATCTACTTCCAGATACCCAGCCTATTTCTATCCCTCCTTACAGAATGGCTCCAGCTGAGCTTAAGGAATTGAAAGAGCAGTTGAAAGACCTTCTAGATAAGGGTTTCATCAGACCTAGTATTTAAGAAAGATGGTTCTCTCAGAATGTGCATTGACTATAGACAGTTGAGCAAGGTCACAATCAAGAATAAGTATCCCATTCCCAGGATTGATGACTTGTTTGACCAACTTCAAGGTGCTAGTCATTTCTCAAAGATAGACCTCAGATCGGGTTATCATCAGCTTAAAGTCAGAGATAGTGACATTCCAAAGACAGCCTTCAGAACTCGGTATGGTCATTATGAATTTGTAGTCATGTCATTTGGACTAACCAATGCTCCTGCAGCTTTCATGGATTTGATGAATAGAGTGTTCAAGTAGTATTTGGACTTGTTCGTCATCGTCTTTATTGATGATATCCTCATTTACTCTAGGAGTGAGGAAGAACATGCAAGCCACTTGAGAGTGGTTATGCAAACTCTGAAAGATCACCAGTTATTTGCTAAATTTAACAAGTGTGAGTTTTGGTTACAAACAGTTGTTTTCCTTGGGCATATTGTGTCTAGTGAAAGGATTCGAGTAGATTCCCAGAAGATAGAAGCGGTGAAACAATGGCCCAGACCTACCTCAACTACAAATATCATGAGTTTCTTGGGTTTAGCAGGTTATTACAGAAGTTTTGTGGAAGGATTCTCATCCATAACCTCACCATTGACTAAGTTGACTCAGAAGATGGTCAAGTTTCAGTGGTCAGATGATTGCGAGAAAAGCTTTACAGAAGACTACAACTCATGTCTTGACTCTACCAGAGGATACAGATGGTTATGTGATTTATTGTGATGCATCTAGAGTCAACCTAGGTTGTGTGTTGATGCAGCGAGATAAGGTTATAGCTTATGCTTCCAGGTAGCTTAAGGTGCATGAGAAGAATTACCCAACTCATGACCTTGAGCTAGCAGCCATGGTGTTTGCACTTAAGATTTGGAGACATTATTTATATGGTGTTCATGTAGATGTGTTCACAGATCATAAGAGCCTTCAGTATGTGTTCACCCAGAAAGAGTTAAATCTTCGCCAGAGAAGATGGCTAGAGTTCCTCAAGGATTATGATATGAGTGTGCATTACTATCCTGGTAAGGCAAATGTAGTAGCAGATGCTCTTAGCAGACTATCTATGGGTAGTGTAGCACATGTTGAAGAAGAGAAGAAAGAATTAGCAAAGGATGTTCACAGTCTTACTCGCTTAGGAGTTCGTCTTATGAGCATATCAGATAGTGGTGTAACAGTTAAGAATAAGGGAGAATCTTCTTTGGTAGTAGAAGTTAAGGAAAAGCAAGACAGTGATCCAATATTGTTAGAGCTAAAGGGTGCGGTCCAAAAGCAGACAGTGGAGATATTCTCCCAAGGGGGAGATGGTGTGCTTCACTATCAGGGTCGATTATGTGTTCCTGATGTGGGTGAGTTGAGATAGCATATCCTTGCAGAAGCCCATAATTCCAGATATTCTATTCTTCCAGGTGCCACTAAGATGTACTACGATCTGTGGGAAGTCTACTGGTGGAATGGTATGAAAAGAGATATAGCAGATTTTGTGGCTAAGTGCCCCAATTGCCAGCAAGTCAAGGTAGACCATCAGAGATCGGGAGGTATGACTCAAGAGATTGATATTCCTACTTGGAAGTAGGAAGTGATCAACATGGATTTCATCATATGGTTACCTCATACTTGCAGACAGCATGATTCCATTTGGGTGATTGTTGATAAAGTTACCAAGTCTTCTCGCTTTTTGGTGGTTAAGACTACATTTTCAGCAGAGAATTATGCCAAGCTTTACATTAATGAGATTGTGAGGTTGCATGGAGTTCATTTGTCTATTATCTCAGATAGAGGTCCTCAGTTTACCTCTAATTTCTAGAAGTCAATTCAGAAAGGTCGTGGTACTCAGGTTAACCTTAGCACAACATTTCATCCACAGATAGATGGGCATGTAGAGCGTACCATTTAGACCTTAGAGGACATGTTGAGAGCTTATGTGATCGACTTCAAGGGTAGTTGGGATGACCACCTTCCTCTTATAGAGTTCGCCTACAACAATAGCTACCATTCCAGCATTCAGATGGCCCCTTATGAGGCATTGTATGGGCGTAGATGTAGATCTCCTTTTGGCTGGTTTGAAGTAGGTGAAGCAGCATTGATAGGGCCAGATTCAGTTCTCTATGCTATGGAGAAAGTGCAACTCATCAAAGATAGACTTAAGACAGCCCAGAGTCGCCAGAAGTCTTATGCAGATGTGAGAAAAAAGGAATTAGAGTTCCAAGTTGATGATTGGGTTTTTCTGAAAGTGTCACCTATGAAAGGGGTGATGAGATTTGGCAAGAAAGGGAAGCTCAGTCCTAGATATGT